AGCTTGCTCCTTCGGAAAACACAGGAAAACAGGAGCATGGAATTATCTACAATTGTGTCATAACAGCAAGCCCCCTCCACACATACACAAATCTCACAGAGCAAATAGACAAACAATCATCAAACAGAAACAAGAGAAATCCCACATATTAGGGAAATAATACAACAGTTTGCAGCTATGATTAACCAGGCACCCAAACAGCAATCACAAAGTAACTCTTTATTAGAAAATACATTTTGTGTGGTATCAGATACCATTTTTATATATAGTAATGTTTTCTCCACAGTTGTACTTTGACAGTACAGTGAAACTTCCTTAGATAAACATAAGTAGGACTTGCTGCTGTAAAAGAAGTTGAGAAGTGTCCTATAAAGGATACTACAGAAAAATTCAGCTTCTGAACTTAACTTCAGATTTCACTTATTTTTTTCCAGCAAAACATTCCCTGTGGTTTTGACTATTTGTCCCATTGAAGAGAACACAGAAACAGTTCCAAAAAGCACATTAATTACTGAACTTTTTTTTTTTTTTTTGTGTTAAGTAGTGAACCCAAATGTCAATTAAGACATACCATACATCCTTCATACCAAAAAAACCTCTCCCTTCTGACATGGCTTTTAGCTTCCTACCACTAACTCACCATTTGGCAAAGGACTCCCTGAGACCTAAGAAAGTTAAATAAATACATCTAAGGAAATTACCCTGATCCTTACACCTTCATTCTGTGTCTGAAATCAGAATACCATCTTCCCCCCATTAAAGGCAGCAGGAAGTACAGTATCATCACCTGACATCACATCAGGGAAAAGATATGCCCATAAGTGTAGAAGTTTATATTCAGCAAAGGGCTTACACTGTGTGTATGAGTACATGGCACAGAACCTATGCAGATGACAAAGAGATTACAGATTGGGCAATCATTGGGTACGTAATATGCTGCTGTAAGAAGACCAAAAAAGTAATCAGGAATTCAACCAGTGCTTTGTTTTTGTGCATACGCAATCTCTGTTATATAGTCTGTTGCTTTATCTACCTGGCCTTGGAGAATAGATTACTTATTTGCAGGCAAAGATGCACACCCTTAGAGCATGCATACCATGTACCATGTCCCGTGCTTTAGAATACATAAGGTACAGCCCTTGTAAAACAGACAAATAGAACACTTACCTAACTCTAGTCTTTACAGTACTGCGTGATTGTGCATATTATCCCAACCACCTGCAGCTCCATTTTGTCACTAGAAGTGCAAGTATACGCTGAATCTAAAGTTCTTGTAAAATAAAATTAAAGGTGCTCTATGCAAATTTGAATAAAGCAATGCTTGCAGTATCCCATGTAACAAAGATGGCATTCAGCATTGAAGTGCTTTAGCAGCTTCTTTTACCCTTTGACTTAAATACTTGATGCCCTTTCGCTAATGGCTGCCATAGGAGTAGAAGGGACAATCAAAGTGATACAGAATTCAATTCCCAATTTGAAACACTCCCAGTGCCAATCAGCCTTAGTCGGCTGGAGGAGGTCCTGGAGCACACAGGAGATGGATGCCTCCAAGGGGAGCGAGTCCACAGGCAGCACAGGGGCTGTGTGGGGCTTCAGAAACCCAACGGGAAATGCATCACATCAAAATCCTCCCAACGTGTGAGAAGGCAATTGCTTTTCAAAGTCTGCAATAGCAGAACCACCACTACTTTATATTTGAAAAGATTTCCCAGTTTCCACATTGTAGGTTCAAGACCAGAAACAAGCGCAGTTCAAGACCTCCAGATCCCACTTACCGCTCCTCGTTACCCCCTTACAACCAGAGCAATAGTTATGACAGACTATAAAACAAGGCATTCCGGAGTCCCGACACGTATGGCGACGGGCAGAAGCGCGGCCACACGCCACAAAAACCTAACCCGCAGCTGAAGGGACACCAACGAGCAGGAAATGCTCCCCACCTGGCAAAGCCTCCTCCACAAGCACCGCGCCGCCATCTTGCCTCCAGCCAGAGGAGCGCGACCCGGAAATAGAAAGCGGCCTCATCCGCCACCTTCCGCTCCCCGCTGTCCTGATTACGGAAGAGCGCCTCCCGCCGGCATGGCGGAGCCGCGGTCCCCTCAGGCGTAGCACTGCGGCACCGGCGGGCAGGGCCTCGCGCGGGGGAGGCGGAGGCAGGGCGCCGCAGCCCGTATGGCGCCCGCAGGCGGGCTGCCCTCAGAGCCGGGCTGGCCGCAAGGGCGCTGCCGCCTGTCACACGCGTTCCCTGCTGACAGCAGGACCTGAAACCAGCACAGATCACGGGCTGTATGAAACGCATCGATATTTTTATTTTGTTATTTCCTCTGCCGCCTAGAATTAACAGTCTTTTTTTTTTTTTTTTTTTTTTTTTACACTAAAGCACCTAAAATATGTACAACCATCTTCTAATAAAATAACAGTTAAATATTGAAAATAAGATTTTTTTTTTCTCATAAAATATGTTTTCTGTATGTACAGGTTTCAGCAAAGAGGACCGAGTTGAACAGCGAACAGTTTTCCATCATCAACCATCAGTAATAAAACAGCTTGTGTGCAACACAACTGCCCAACATATGTACAAAGAGAACAACAGCTGTGTAACATCAGCCAGTGCCACACTTGGGCAAGTCCATGTCAGGTGCCTAAATCGTGTACTGTGTACGAAATTGCTTTTGTCTTCGCGAATGGTTTCTTTGGTTGTTGGATGACCGTCTTGGCTGTGCAGTACAGCGGCACCCGATGGCTATGACAGAAGCAGGCATCTATACACATGTATTCATGTATCCACGCCAGGAGCAGCACAGCTACCTGCCCAGCTGTTGCTACAGAGATTTCACTGTAGATTCTTTAGCACAGAGCTGCTCTTCAGAATGGAGCCCGCAATTTCCTACTGTACTTCACCCCGTTCTTCAAGAACACTCACTGACTTCCGTGACCATTTTTCTTTCACACAGCTTTCTTCCCACCACCAAGACGGGAACCTGAAAACATTTCCATTTTGCCAGGGTAGCAGCCTTTCTCAGAGAGATCCTTGAAATTCAAAATGATACAGGCTTGGAAGAGGAAGCAGGCTCTACTGTATTGTTTGTGCCACAGGCCCCTAGAAGCCAACCCAGGTCACAGCTCACCAGAGCTCCCACTTTGCAAACGCTAAGAGTTGTGCAGACTACAAGATTTACCATTGGGATTTAGCTGGGAGCTAACAGCTGAGCACTCAGCCAGCTGAACCTGGGTTGCATGGGCCCTGTGAAAGTGATGTCACAGCACGGACAGAATTGTTAGGAAGCGTGCTGACAGATAGGTCAGGAAAGGAAAGAAGGCTGGTGCCTCATCTCTTGAAACACACAGGCACAGCGATCGAGAACATCATCCATTCTGTAGCAATGGGAGCAAAATCCCACCCTCTGGTCAAAACTAACTAAAATGTCTCTGAACCCCTAAGACAAATAGAACAAACCACACAGATGGGAACTTCACTAAACTAAAACTGAGAAGTGACTGCTGTTCTCCTAAAGGGTTGTTCTTTACTATCAGAACGTTTGACACGAAGTGAAAACTTCAGGCCATTTGAATTTGTGTATTTGGCTTTGACAGAGAAGTCACCTCTCTGCTAGTGAGTCCCACTGGTTTTGAAACTGTGGTCCAGTACTCCTATACAAAGGTACTGTGGCTTACCCTCATTTTGCATAGTTACACAAAAAAAGACAAGACAGTAGAAAATAAAATCCTCCATCTCTCAGAGTCCACTTAAAGTGTTAGAAATGTGACAAAAAGACTTCAACAAAAAAAAAAACAAAACCCCACCCATAAAAAAAAACCCTGGAAACTGGAAGATCTGAAGTCAGTCTTATAAAATATTTTATAAAATTAGCAACACTCCTCCACTGTGAAAGATTCACAAGAAAATCAGTGCTACTACCTGTGAAAGTTCAAAAATCATTGCTCTTGTTGTACTGTTCAAGGTCCACTCAATCTAACTCAACTTCTTCCCGTGGTTCTAGATTTTCTAATGATTCTGTAGGGTACAATTGTTTTTAGATTTTATTGAAGTAGAAAACCAAATCCAGATGTACAGAAGTGAATTTAGACATCAGGCAGGTAGATCTGAGCCTGAAGAAAGAGAAACAGTAATTAAACAGCGTCATCTCACCTTTGGGATATGTTTTATGAAGTAAACAACACTGAATTTGATGTAATGAGGAAGACTGAAAATGGCACAAGAACAACACTTCATGTGTAGAAATAATAACTAACATATGCTGAAGGCATATACTCCATCAATCTCTGTTCCACAGACAAGAATGTCTCCCTGTATTTGCCAAAGAGTAAGCTCCTGCAATGCTCAAAAATATGTTCCTAAAATCACTGACACGGCTATTCAACAATGTGATTTATTGTCACATCAAAATATATTTCCTGTGCAATCTGATTGCCAACGCAGTGTTCTTGATTCAGTGTTCCCATGAGTTGATGTGAACCGCAGCACAATCATCCTTCTTCAATTCCTGAATTAGGTCATTTTAAAATCAGCAGATCAAAGCCGTGTTAGAAATGAAGCTCTAAAATGTACAATGTAACCAAAGCTTTTATGAACTGCCTAACATATATGCATTAAGGCAAGACAGAACTGAAAAAGTACTGTGATACTAAAGATGATACAGTCACTCCTGTATTTATTTCACAGTTAAAGCAGATTTTTTTCTCTACTTCCCTTAAAATGACAGCACAAAGAAAAAGAACATAATCATCTCCTTAATAAAGATGACATTTAGTTTCTAGAAGATGCTGGAAGTGATCCAGTGCAGGCAAAAAATAAAATAAAAAAAAATCCATCAGAAATGTGTGAAGATATCCTTGTAAGTGGGGTAAAGTGAAACCTGGAAGAGTTTAAGACTAAAGATCCTACCGAGGGAAATGACAGCAGAACCGTGACCTTCTCCGATTACTGGCCTTGGAAGATACCAGCAAAATAAGCCCAGATAAAACACCTTATAAGAATATTTGTACCAAGTATTTATTTCCTCCCCCCAGAAACACAAATTAATAAAAAAAGGGAAAAAAGCATATTTCTTTTCTGGACCTGGATAAAAGAATTATCATTTTTCATCAGGTAGTTTACAATCAGTGGGGAATAAACGAACAGTCCAGGTTCCCTGACTGATGCATTCAGGGTGTGCTCAGTAGCTGTCTTTATCAAACAACTTTATTTACAACTCAGCATCATCCTGCAGTAGATCTGCATCTTCATCATCCAACAAAAGGTCAGCATCCATGACTTCATTCTCTTCCATGACGCCACCTAACTCCTGAACAACATCGTCATCAATGTCACCGACATTTCCAACATGTTTAACCAAACTCATGTGATCCAGAGGGATCAAACTATGCCCAGCTGGCCCAGTAGTTCTCACAATAGTGGCTGCCATTTCTGCTGCCACTGCAGCTTTCTGAGCCTTCTGCCTTTGCTGTTCTTCTTTTTGTCTGTGTGTCTTCATATGAGCATTGCGGCTTTTGATTCTGAAAAATACTCTAAAATTTTAAAGGGGAAAAAAAAAAAAAGCAGATAAAAGTACATTGCTTTTGATGAAGGGAGCCAAAAAACACTCAACAACCTATCAGTACATTTGCCTCCCTGTCCTGAAATAGAAGTCTGCAATGCCATGGTGAGAATTCCAGGGACCGACTACCAGATTTGTACATCCTGTCAGCATCAAAATGGCCTACTCTGACTCTGCTGAAGCTATTTTGCAGTTCCTGCATTTGCTTCAGTATCTATGCACATCCTAATTCTGCCTGAGCTCAGTTTCACTACATTCTTCCACAAAAAGCAGAAAGCGGAGGAATCTCACGTTAGAATGGAAAAACTCAAGCAAGGAAATAAAGTTACCCACGCCCATGCTATGCAAGTCTGTAATGAAGCAGGAAACTGGAGTGTCACATGTAGGAACTCTAATAGAGAAGTAAATTCAGGAATATGACATGAAATGCTGCAGGAGAAGCATCCAGATTGTCATGCAAACCTCCAAACTGTCATGCAAAACCTCTGAAGAATTTGGTAAGAGAACATGATGTTTTATGGGGAAACTGTTCTTTCGAGACTATGAGAGCAAAATAGTTTGTTGCAATACTATTCATTTGAAAAGCAAATAGGCAGAGGCGGTGCAGTACTGCAGACAGTTATATTCACTTACTTGCCACATTCCTTACAAGGAAAAATTGTTGTTGGGTCGGTCTCGCCACTTGTTGTGCTGTGGGCAGGTGAACTCTTGATGGAGCAGTACCCGCTCTGTGTACCAGATTTCTGCTTAGTGCCTGCAGTGGTGCATCGTGGCTTTGTCACCTGATTTGTACCTCCATGAATGCGAGCGTGGCCATTTAGTGCTTGTCGGGAACTGAACACCTGATGGACAGTAGAGTGGAGAGAATTAAAAATAAAAATCAAGACAGACTTCACTGCAACAGGAACTGCATGAAGAAGTATAATGAATGCATACGATAAAAAACATCCGTATGTGTCAGATATGCACACTAACAATTTTCCAGTTCAAATGTTGCTTGCTCTCAGCTATTCTCCATTAGAATTAAACTAACTTAGTTGTAATAAAAGAAAACCAATGAGCTATCTTACTCTTATAGTTATTTAATAACAAGGTAATCAGGGCTGTCATTACACAGCACTTCTCATCCCTACATCATACAATTCTATGTACAGATCAGCATACTGTCTGTATTGAATAACAAGGGATTTCAAAGCAGACAAAATCATTTGTCCAAAGATATTCAGGAGGTATCACTGGCCAGGAATAGTCTAAACATCTGATTTCCAAAAATCACTATATGTTAAGATACGAAGCCCCCGCTATTATTTGAAGACATCAAACACACGTACAGCACCACAGTTTGGCATTTCACAGATGAAAGAGGATGAAGAAAGTGAAAGACTCTGAAGGGTAGGCAGGTCTATAGGTCCAACAAGAGGGATAGCTGGTGGGTCAGGAGACTTCTGCATTTCCCTTTCTTCCTTTCTGTCTTCTTCAATCTCCTCATCTTCCTCTAACACTTCCTCTTCTCCACTTGTCTGAAATAGATGGAGCATTTAAGAAACACTAGGAATATGGCGAAGTACAGACACTAGTGGATAGCAGTACACAGCCAAGTCTGCTTCTAGGGTTCAGTGTTTTTCCCCATCCTGGCTGAAATTTTCGTCTTGCTGGAGCTACCACAACTTCACAGATAAATTGCAGGTAATGAAGCTTCACTGCTGCACTCAAAATGCCCTCCAACTATAGTACAGAGTTGTGGTCCAGAAGCCTACAGATGCCAAGGTGCAATACTGCCCCCCGCTTTTAGTATGGTGATGTACACCATATGCATAGTTGAATTAAATGATTTAACTTAAAATCAAACATGCCTCTTAAGAATGCTCGGAGTACCTTTAATTCAGACCTTGCACACTATGAATTCATTGCCAGCCTGTATAAATGCTAGTTTTATCACAGTGTCCGAGCTTTTCAGGCATGCGTGGTCACACAGACATATGCAGAGGACTGATTTATAGATGTTTATCGATTTAACTGGTAGCAAAGCTGTAATAGTTGAACTAGAGTTAGACAATGCAGTGGTCAAAACACTACAGTCCAGGAATACAAAACTTCGGTGTAGCTGAGGTACCAGAACATTCCTACAGAATATAACTTAGAACTATGGAATAACAGAAGTCAGAAAAGACCTATCTCACCTAGCTCATGTCCTATGTCACCTAGCTCAACTTCCTGCTCAAAACAAGATAAACGTCAAAATTATCAAGTGTTACATTGATATGATTTCTTCTGGACTTACCATGCATTCCTCTCTCTTCTTCTCTAAACGTGTTCTGTGTTTCCGTCCCCAGCGCAGGATTTTCTTCCAGGTATAGTAGTATTCCACGCATTGTGCAACTGTCTTAGACTTAACCTGCAGTTAAGTAATTGCAGAAATAGTTCAATCTCAAGTTTTCATTTTAATTCAACACAACTTTAATATATTCCGAGAGAAAGGTTTTATTTACCAAATATTCAAATGGAGAAATAAAGGCAATTCAAATACAACAAAAATACTCTTGCAGAATAATTTTTTTAATTATTGTTTGTAAGTCAAATGTGTGTTGACTGTTTCAGCTCCAGTATGCTTCCCTGGAATTCTCTAGATTCTAACTGGATAATGACTGAGGATGTACACTTACAGTGTGTATATATATATATACACACACTTATCTCCAAGAATTAAGATTTGATTTTCAAAACCCCGAATGTTTTCCAACATTTTAGCCAACAACCAAGGTATTTAACTCTGCCACACAATTTGTCCTTTCCGCTTTGTGATACAACATGTCACAAATGAAGCTCAAACACAATCTCACTTTAAGAACACGTTTCAAGGCACAACACCTGTGACATAGGTAGCTGTTAACAAACTGCTGGAGAACACAAAGGCATTATTAGTTGGCCACCGCGTGTGTCCCACACTCACAATGCCATGACTTGGATTTCAATGTGTCAGTTCTTACATATAATAACAAGAGGAATAGATCATTTATCTTTTTACTGGTGCTGCAGTTGCATAAAGAAGTACATCAATGGAAAATACCACTCCTTACAGCATCCTTCTATCTGCTACTGGTTCTATGCCTGCAATAAACTGGCCTGTCACTGGAGGGAAACTGAAAGGGAACAAAATGCAGCAAATGGCAAAAAGAGTTGGTAGGACAGAAGCCACCTTACCATTTTCTGTACAAATATAAAATCTTTGCTGTAGGTGGACAATGCCTCTTTGAACAGCCTCCTTTCTTGATGTGTCCATTTGTCGGAGCCTTAAAAAAACAACACACACAGTGAATTCATTAAAAGCAATGAAAGCCAACCACCTTGATGTTGATGTAACACCAAAAGTGGGAAACCTCAAGCACATGCTTGTGACTGCTGCTACCCAAATGCAAGTATGGCTGTACTGACTTAGACTTCAAGTCCACCTAACCTGCGCTCTGTCTCCAGCAGCAGTCACAGGCAGTTGCCAAGGAAACAGTAAAATCAGGGCAAGCAAATATAACGCCTCTCCCTAACTTCTCCTAGCCTCTGACCACTTGCAGTTCAGAGGATTTCTTTAATCTGTTGCGATTTGCTTATTTCATAACCACTCTTCTAAGTGCTGATGCAATCTTCTTTCCAATTAATTGGGTCTCTTGCCACCACAATATCCTTTGCCAAGGAGTTTTGCAGATCAGCAGACCTTCTGCATGAAGAAACCACCTCCTTTTCTTTGATTCCTAGCTCCCAAGTAGCTTCACTGGATGACCTCTTGTTCTTCAAGTGGAAGAAAAAACAAACCCATTCTTTACCATCACTTCCATGCTATTTGGGATTGCATTTTGTTTCTGTCACTTCCTCTCCAGACGAATAAGCCCAAGTCACTTCTACACCACTGGTCATGACTGCTGTCCCTCTGTGAACACTTCTCTACTAAAACATTCCTTTAGAGACACAGGGACCAAAAAGGCAGATAAAAACTCAATCTGCAGACCTGCACAGTGGCACCACCATGTTCTCCAGTTTCTTAACATCTGACTTGTGGTTATTTTTTTCTTTAAGCTTCTGTAAAATGCAAAGGTGACGTTTTCATAGAACTACCATCATAATCCCAAGGACTTTTTCTAATGGGCAAATATCACCACAGAGTTGATCATTTTAGACACAATGCTTGCACTGCCTATTCCTACATACACCACTTTATCTTCAGCTACACAGAAGTCCACCTATTGTTTAATTCTCCAGACACTAACTCTCAAAAAATCCCTTCACAGCTTTTCACGTGTATGGCTTGAGGTAAGACACAAATTCTTTGAGATTGAGGCCTCAAGTAAATGGAGAGGGTACAGCAGTATGAAAATCATGCAAAGTGCTTCCTGATCAGTTAATGGAAGCTGTACATACAGCTTTCAAATATTATTATTCTGTTTGCTTCACCAGCCTAACTGCCCATGAAAATGCAAAATCAACATTTAAATAGAAATAATGTGTGTCTCCTCAGCATTGGTCAAACAGAAGGAACACAGAACTGCTCTACTGCATCAAATACCAGTGTCTTGATTGTAAGAGTAGGCATCACTTACATTAAAAGAAGGATATACAAGAAGCCATAAAGCAGATGCCTTGAAATGACTCTGAGAAGATTCTACTGCAGTCTGTCTGAGAGTATGTGGAACTTTCATCATTAAAAGAAATCCCAAATGTTCCTGTCAGTGTTACCATTCTCCACACAAATGCTTGCCTCTGCATTGAACTCAATTAACTTGGGCTTGCCACCATGTGTGGTATTCAACTCTGCAGGTTATTTAAGTCTAATAATATACACATTTTTTATTAACTGCAAATGTTTTGCTTTTCAGTGTCAATTCCCAGGCTCACAGGCCTAGAGAGAGTATCTCATCACTCTGTTATATACTGAAAACTACAAAATTAACTTTTCTGCAACCTGTTTTCTGTACGTTTTCCCAGTACTGGCTATAAGAGTGCATTAGCTATTTCCACAGAGATTTACAGTAAAGCTCTCAGTCTAAGTGTCAAAAAAAGGCACTGGCTTCAAGCAGCAAGTTTTATTTATTCTGTTATCACCCAAAGATCTTTCTGCTGACACACTGCCTCGCTGTCTTTCCTTCCCTGAACCAGTGTGTTCCCTTTCTACACCACCTGCCACTCATTTGCTTTCACCCTCCCTTTGAGGGGGGGTAAATGCATTAATTCAGTCCAAAGCCTACTCTACTATGCCAAAATAACATTTTTAAAAGCTTGACAACAGCCCAGGATGGATTTTAGTTTTCAGGAAATCTCTCCAGTTCTCTCCTGAAATAATAATAATGATAAAAATCACTTCTTTGAACTAATTCTATTGTACAGCTAGGGATAATTCAGGCCTTACAGATTTTCCCCAGTAGCTACGGTATTAGCAGAGACCCTTATAAGATTATGAGGGTTAATTGGAAGTAACCTAATTAATAGAATAAATCCTGCATTAGGAAAAGAAACAGAAGAAAAGCTGTTTTTAACTCCGGTTGCTGGGAAACCACTTTTGCTCTTGTTAGCTTGAGGGAGACATACAGAATGTGTATAGAGAAATCTGCAATGCAGCAAGAAAGAATTTTGGACTTAGGAATACAGATCAAATTTTAAAGATCATCTTTAGGCTAAAACATTTATTATACATTTCTGCCATATTAAAATACTGGTTTTGCTCTGATTAACTCACAGAAATATCTTTTAAAGATTTGGGGGCTTTTGGCCCAATCTGTGAGTTTCAAGGGAACTACACCTCCACTCAGGGAGCTCTCCTTGAGAGGCAGCTCAAATCTATTCCATTCAGCATATGCTAGATCTGACCCACACACTGTAGTGTGCATCTATCAGAAGTTTTAAGACTACCTGAAGCACACTATTTCAGAGACCACCTTTTCTCCTTTACTGCAGGAGACCTGAGAAATTCCACTGCTCAAATGAAAAACAAATCAAGCATCTGAAAAAGCACTCCTCTTGTATTGGGCACGTGCTCCCCCTCTCTTCCCTAATACACTGTCCAGACAAATCATAGAATCGTGGAATGGAAGAATGGTTTGGAAGAGATGTTAAAGCTCATCCACTTCCAAGCCCCCTGCTATGGGCAGGGCTGCCACCCCCAGCTCTGGCTGCTCAGGGCTCCATCCAACCTGGTCTTGAATGCCTCCAAGGATGGAGCATCCACAACTTCTCTGGGCAACTTGTTCTTCTGCAGCACCACCCTATAAGTAAAAAATGTCCTCCTAATATCTACTCTAAATCTCCCCTCTTTCAGTTTAAAACCATTCCCCTTTACCCTATAACTATCAGACCAAGAAAACAGTTGGTTTCCCTACTGTTTACAAATTCCCTTTAAGTACTGGAAAGCCACCATGAGGTCTCCCCAGAGCCTTCTCTTATCCAACAGACAGCAAAGGATAAGGATGAAGAGAGTAGTGTGTTCTTCCAAGGAGCTGTCAGTCAACATGGCCCACTCTCTTGGCGAACAGAAAGGTCTGAAGTTTGACAACTTCCTCTCACAAACCAACAGGTTTCAAGGACAAGCTATCACTTGAATCTTTGTCTGAGGTCAGTGCTGAGTCTGGATATTTACTGTCTGTGGTATCAGTTGATTCTCAGGAGTTCACTGTCATGCTCTATTATGGTCTGCTCCACCTTAAATTGTGACCGTTCCTGATAGCTGTTACTTCTGAATACAGAGCAGGAAGCCCAAAGAGTTAACTGAAACAAATACCACTTGAAGTTACATTAAAGTATTCACACATTAGATTTTGAGAAATTCCCATATGCCTCGAGTGGCTGCTTATCAACCACAAAGACTATAATTCAAGAGCTACACAGTGCTAGAACATAGCTGTCAATGTAAGCTGCAATCACATGCTGCATTTGAGAGCGTTATTAAGTAATGCTTTGTCTTGTTATTTTCTGTTGCTTAAATCCACACTGCTGAGAATTTGTTGGGCTCTAAAATGCAGACAATTTCTTTTCCTCCTTAAGAAGTAGAGCTATTCTAGTGTCCACAGGTTTCAGTGCTAGGTACAAATATTAGCATCTTCCCATGTGAAAGATGAAATAAAACATTTCCTAGCTCCTCCCAGCATCACAATAATACACTTATTAAAACTACTGTGAATTTGCCTCAGCAAAGGCTATTGCTCCTTCGACACAAGCAAAAATTTTTTATCTGCTGAGCTAATTGAACCTCTCACTGATGATGAGGCTGCTGGGATCTCTCTTCATCTCCCTTATTTCCTCCCCTGGCCCACCTCACATATGCTTTGTGTTACCTCTTCAGACAAGAACACCCAGGAACCCCAGTTACAGCTCCTGGCTTGACACCCTCCTTCATCCAGCCCCATTTCCACCCTTTGGACTGCAATGGAGTTGTTTTCAAAGGCACAAGCCTCCTTTCAAAGGCACAAGTCTCCCTCCTCTAAAAATCATATCTGATCTGCACCTTCATTCACTCTTGTGATTAGCCACCATCAGACACATTTCTGTTCTTGTCTCAGGTCCTGGCCAGGAGTTTGTTACAAAAGAGTCCTTGTTACTCAGAAATCTGCTACAGTCAGCAAGTAACTTAATTCTACACTTAAGTGACACAATGACTATAACTGGAAATGAGTACATGACCCTGAACATTGTGATTGTCTGACTGAATACCAGAAGATTCTCAGCTTATTTCCACCACAGCCTAAACTGGAGATGAAGTCTTATGTCCCTTATGTAAAACTGTGTCAAAGTAGCTGTTAGGCACTACAAAGCCTTGAGCAATAATGTGGACTTCTGCAGAGGAGGGACGTTTGCTAGCTTGAGCTATGCTTAGGTGATGATAACATCACTCTGTATTTCACAGAGCACTTCTGCTTCATAACTGAGATTTTTGCTGCGTTTGTTAAAGTTGACACCATTCCAAACCTGTTTCTTTTAGGCTAGATCCATGCAAATAGAGGCTCTGCATTCTGCACAAAGACACAAGAGAGCTATAGTACTGTCTCTTTCGACGGATGCTCATGATTATCACGTTCACAGCACCACATTAGAAGAGAAAGGCATTACAGCAGACACAGAGTAGGAAAACACAACAGAGTAGGAACACCTTACTGCTTGTAAATTAATAATCTATAAATAGTAGCAGTTTTAAAAGAAGATCAACATATTAAATTTTAGTTAAAAGAAAAATAAAAACCCAAGGCAGTTTTAAACCTGCAGAACCCTACATAGAAACATGAATACAGGGTTTCTCTACATAATTCGCCAAGCAAAACTGTCAAACTTGTAAACAAAAGGTTCTGGAAGTTCCACTCAGCACTGTCCACATCACCCTCTATTAGAGGCTGCCATCCCAGCAGCAGACAGCAGAGAGTGCAGCGGGATCCCACACACCAAGCTTGGGATGCCAGCCTTGGACTCTGGATACAGAGTAGATACAGAAATCGCAAGGAAACATACCAGCATAGTGGTAATTTGCCAAAGGATGACACTTCAATCTCACTGGCTTCCTCAACAGCAGCTTCTCAACAGTAACCTAAATGAATAAGCAGAGAGAAAAGAAAAAAAAAAAAAAGAATTAGCAAATGCAGTCAGTTGCTCCATATATTTGTATTTAGAAGTCTATTTGGTAGGATAATATGAAAGCAGTTTGGTGAGTTTTTTTTGTCATAAAAAAAAATCATAACAAATGATTCCAAACCCCACTGACACTGTAGCCCATGTAAGAGCAATTAATGCACACTTGTCTGTCCTTAATTAGCACAAATGTGGCTATTATCAACATCCAGCAATTCCCTCCCTTCTCTTTGCCACAAACCAATGCAATTACAGTGTTTAATTTGATAGTATTAATACTAATATTTAATGGCTGATTTGGTAACTTCTTTTTTTTTTTTAGAACATCTGCTTAAGTCAACATCTGCTAAGAATGACACCAAAATAATTAATTTGAGTTCGGACCATGAAGAAAGATGATTTGGGGGATTCCTGATTTTTATCCCTGACAATGCATACCCCCATATAGTAAGTTTCAGTTTCTGACAGTCACCTGTCTCAGAGCCCTCAGGTACATCTAATTGAGCCTGAAGAAACTGAGATGTGAGCTAAAGAACACTGTGCCAGCCAATCTTGCCAGATTCATTCTGCATTCTGCTTTATTTTGTTTTAAATTGGCATTCCAGAAGCTGGGGCAAGGCTTTGTCTTTCCTGAATGCTGGGCAAAATGGAGATTTAGCCTTAGTTAGTAATGTCCCCATCACAAAGCTAATGCAAATATTTGAATACATTATTTATATGAGAACTGCATGCAATTACCTCGCAGTTCTGAACAAATAAGTAGATGTGATTGCTGCTACAAAAAATGGGCTAAAAGAGGACTAAGCTCTCTATGGCCAAATACAAAGCTTGTGAAATATCAGGTCTGGAGAAAGCACTGGGAGACATTCAAAACCCCAAGGCTATAAACTAAGTAATCTTATCTATCTGAAATATACAGTAAGCCTTCAGAGAGGCAGTGCTTTGAAATTTAAATTTATTAAAGAATAAAAGAGAAAAGTCACTCCCCAAAAATGTTGCAGGATGTTTAAAGCATCACTGCTAATCAATCAGAAATCTCTTTTTTATATAACCGTATCTAAATCCATTTAATAAAGCATGCTAACTTATCTGCAAAGAGGAGCATCTCTCCCTTTTCAGCTTATCTTACCATAATATCTCCTTTTGCCTCAAAGAGAGAGTGCAAAGCATATTCTGAGTTAGTTCCTCCACCAGGTAACACGCTGGAACAGCTCATATTTAAGAGGTCTTCCACTGTCAGAAACAAGTCCACATGTTATTGCCAATACAGTACCTGTCAGTTAAACAACCTGAGACAAGGATCCTGCAATGTCACTCACAGGCAATGCAGTCCAGGGCAGCAGCTTTCACATTCTCCCCTCCCTCCCCCCAGCAACTATCTCCTGATTTCAGGATCACTCTCTGAGGAGAGGATATGCCTGGATTTGCAGAGTGCACCCCTGGGGTGTGATGGGGCATTACAGAGCCAGAGACAGAGGCCTGGCTGTGAGCAGTGGCTCACACAGGCACATATGGTCAGTGATGTTGCTGCAACAAGAAGATTCCAACTAGGGCATAGAAAGGGAAACGTACTGCACTAAAAGCAGGAACAAACTCTGCTCAGGTCTAGAAAGAGTCATTCAGACAATCAAATTTATCTATGTTATGGTCACAGGACAAACCCAGGAGCCACCTCTCATCTGTGATCTCTGCCCTTATCATGCAGTTCATTGCCCAAAAACCTCAGCAGTGACTTATGCCTGTTTGCTACTAGAGAACACTTCATCTGCACTTCACTTTAAAGGCCTATGATACTCTGAATCTGTAATATGTAGTTCTGGTCTCTTGCTCTGCACTCTCAGTAATTAATGCTGTCTTGAATGTTTTGTACAGGACAAATGAAAAATCGATGGGAATTTCTTCAGAAGGCACAAGGTGATGTATGAGCTTCTAAACCAGCAAGTCATTGTACCTCTTTGTTGGAAGACTTTGTTCTCCAGTTCTGGCCACGGTTTCCAAACCAGAGTAGCCTTGTGCACATCTTTCTCCATTAGCAATTTGTCCTGCAGCTCAGGAATATCAGCCTGGAACCTGGACCCAATATTAATTCGTCTGTAATAACAAATAAGCAAATGGGTATTCAACTGTGCAACGTGCAGAAAAACCAGAAGTCACATTTGTGTTCACTTTGTTTCCAAAAAAACTTTCATTATACTGGAGTGGCAGGAAATTGTGTCGGATTGCTTATTAAATGCTTTACTCTCAACAGGGTAAGTATTTTGAGTATTAGAGAGAATTGATCTCTTGGGAGGAAACTAAAATTTCAGTGCATGATTTAAACTGTATCAAGACATCGTACCTTACAGATAACCTGAGTGAGCATGTGCACAGACTGCCTAGCAAAAAAGCTAGATGCAGGAAACACTAGCTTTCTGTTCCACAGAGAATGACTCAGTGGGTAAAGAGCAAAAAGACATTACTGTCAGGAGGGCAACCTTGTTTGCAGACTGCCCCAACGAACCCACCACACAACATTTCCCTCCAAAGCTCCAGAGGCAACATAAATATAAAAGCAAAAGTAGTGGAACTGTACGTTCGTGTGGTCCTTTTCCTGGACATTACCAAAAGTTTTCCACCTTCAGCAACTTCTGCTAAGCCTCTCCTAACATTTTAGAACCAGGACATCCATATCTCCCACAGTCACTGCTCCACATGCAGTAGTAGCCTTAAACACATCCAGTCCAACACTTTCAGGCAGCTGAACACTACTTGCTTGGTCCAAAATATTTCATGCTCAAATCCTAAGCTGAAGCTAGTCTACAGAAGCAAAGACAAAAGAAATATTGTTTTTCTTACGGTTCAACAGTCTGTTCGCCAGGGCCAGGCGTCACTGGAACTACGCTTCCATCAATGCTATCTGAAACAGAACAGAATTCCTGAGTTTACAAAATATTTGGTAACAACCATGCTGATGCTCCTCCTCCCAGGCTATATTGCCACATTCCTATTAACATCCTGCAGAAATCAGACATCAAGGTACCTCTGAGATAGCCAGCAACACCTGGGAGATGTTTGGCTCAAAATAATCTTGTTCATGCATAATCAGGTGTATTTCTCATGTAAAAGAGCAATCAGGCACAATACATGGGATTAAGAAACAGCTGGGAGGTTAAAACAAGTTCACTTTAAAGGTCACAGCATCAATAACAACTAAAAGTTTTCTGTGTTCTGCTGGTCTGCATTAGTCAGGGCAGTAAAATGGCTGAGTACAAAGAACACACACAATATTTCAGGTAAAAATATTAAAGCAATCCTTAAAGCAATCCTTATTTTGGTATTTGGATCTGTAATTGCATATACGGAAATCAGCTACACACACTTCTCTTCGAAACAGAACTTAAGTTCTTTTTTCCTGTTTCTATCTGAAAAGAGGGGTTTTCTGTCAGTATGCTCTAAGTTTACAAGGCTATGCAATTGTAACTATGTAAGGCCTCACCCCTGCCTCTGTCTGTATCCATCAATATTACATCTTTGTTATACCTTCAGTAACTGCTACAGCATTTTTGGACTTGTTTGCCACAGTCAAAAAAGTTTCTTCTGTAACTCCCTCTCTGTAACCTATGATTTCGTCTAGCTTGACTAAAAACTACAACCTCTGCAAGTCAGAGGTACCAACACTTAGTATTCTGAGAACATCCTTTCACTAAAGCACCAAGAATGTCTTCTGTGAAAATAAACAATTTTGTAAAAAATTTTGCATCAAAATGTATTCTCTACCTCCACTCCTACTCCCCCCAACAAAAAAAAACAATCCTGCAGTCAGGGGCTTCCATTTGGCTTCCGCTTTTTTAGGAAACTAACAACTACATTTTAACGACATTACAGGAATATAAAAGATCTGCACCCAGACCACCTTCCTGAAGGAGGAGATAGCCAATCCCAATTTCTAAGCAGCTCCAAAAAATAGTAGGCAGACAGGCACACAGGAAGGAGATTTTAAGATAAATTTGTGAGACTAACATAGCTCAGAATCTGTGCCTTCCCCAGAGCATGACATAAGGCTATGGCATTTACCCTTGCTCTCTCCAAGAAAAAGCCAGCCAGCATAGGTAGTTCATGTCTTTTTGTCATTTGTTGAGCATTGCTGCAGTTCTGCACCACAGAAAGGAAAACGGGGCTAAAACCAAATCAGCACTAATTACAGGAGTTTGTCACATGGCTGTTGTTGACTCTGAAGTCAGTGGTTCTAATGGCAGGACAGATATCAATTTGCCAGCTTCCAAGAGGAGAGCAGGAAAAGTGATATGAGCTTCACTTTTTCCGGATTACAAGACAGAGGTGGTGGTCTGGTGAGTAAGACTTTTAACTTGCTTCTTAAGTTTTCATACTAGCAACCTGTTCATTTTACAAAGCGAAAAATGAATTGAGAGCAATTGAGAGCAATGGGAGCTCTAAGGCACTGTTAAAACACACAAGCGTTTGGTGACCATGTCTGAAGTAACTCAGAGTGCAGCTACCACCTTCTTTCTGCTGGGAAAATTCTTCCATTCTATTATGGAAAAATGACCCTTCCTCAATATTTAGGTATAGAAATAGTCTAGATTGCTATAGGTTAGAAGCATTTTAACTTGCATGGGTTTCTACTACCATGATCAAGTATGATTAGGCACCCTTTCTTGTGAAGCATTGAACAAAATCAGAAAATTAATCCTATGTCTCAAAGCAAACCTTTTCCTTCCACTTCAGAAGACCCTATGTATGCAGTCCTTTCAAAGGCAGACCCCACTGAAAAATCACAGCTTTATTCACTGGTTAGGCTTCTCCACTCATTTTATGCTCTACAAAATCCAATGCAAAACCAACAGACAAAGATGGATTTTTATGGCATTGCAACGTAACGAGCCACGCACACGTGTACATGTAAAATCATCTATGAGATAACACTAGAAAAGAGCACAGCAGTATTCACTACATAACACTTACTGGACCGACAGAGGAGCACCCGTGGAGTTGGTGTGAGTGGAGTGAGCGGCAGCTGAGTGTGCGAGGCGCTGTGAGATGATGTGATAACACTACTGAAGAGACCAGACCCGTGCCGAACAGGACTAAGCATCGGTGGCGGAGTGTAGGGGGGGAGCTCGTGTGTTCGGTCCAGCAGATGGTCGCCAAGGACACGGGGAGAGCGAAGCTGGCTCTGGTACAGCGTGGCACCAGAGTGGGATGTGCTGAAGTTGAAGGAAGGAGGAGGTATGAAGAGAGGTTCAGGTCTGTGCCGATACTTCTTCTTGTCTGGTAATGGTTTGAAGTTTTCTTCCAATTTCGCAGCATTTTGATGAGGTTTTTTGCTAATTTCCTAAACGAAAACATACAGAACATTAATACTTAGCTATGCTTAAATGTGGTTTGCATTGCACACAATCCCCTACAACCTAGGGCATATTTTACAACCACAGTAAAGCAGATACCAGCAAGCAGTTATTTGGGCGCTGCCACAGTAACCCTGGTCAGTACAGAAGCTGGTCCTGCCTAGACACCACAGGGGAGAGAGGAAAGTCAGAAGAGCTGCCTTCCCCTCCCACATGGGTCCCTTTGGGTCAAGGCAGGGCTGAGCTCAGGCATGGACTTGGGGAGGCCTCTGCTATAACTTCTGAAAGTGCAAAGAACAGCCTTCCCAGGGCTGCAATCTTTTCGCTCAATCCCAGCACCTCAGGTACTTCTGTCTGTACTGAACACATACAGGCTATTGCAAGTTACTTCCCTATCTAGTCCCACTTCATGTAAGATGTTTTCCAATGCATTTATTTTGTTAGGCTAGGAAGGACGTATGAGCTCAGTGAAATTACTGCAGCACTCAGCAACAGGGAAAGAAAAAAAAATGTAATAAATTCAAATTCTTCGGCTCTTATCACTGCATTCCCATCAGTTTGAGTACAGTCCAGCTGCAACAAATCCTGAACTTAACCCTCTCCTCTTTTCCAGGAAGGAAATTAATCTTTTCCCGTTCGGGAAATTAAAGTGCTCTAATGCTCTAGAGTTTGAATGCTAAACATCATTTAACACTAAATACCCCCAAAATCATAGAAAGCAAAAGGTACAGAAATTGTGAATCCTCAAACCTCTCAGATTTCCTGAGGGTGAGCATGAAAAAAGTTTACAGGGTATACTTCAAAAAATGGACAGAAGCTGGAAGGTGAACACAGCAGTAAGTACACTACTTCCAAGTGTTCAGACTGCAGATCTTACTTAGGACCAACTTCCAAAGCAGATGAAAATTTTTGACAGATATTCCAGATGAATCACTCCAGAACGTCTGCATCATTTATAAATACTATTACTATATAAAAGTAAATTACTATGATGTATGTTTAGACAACATATATCTTTACACCATGGGTGGTTTCTGAGAATCACATTCACCCAATAAAACTCATGTTAGAGGAGCATTAGCACTGTCACCCTTTATCCGTTATGTTAATGCATTCCAGCTTGTGGAAATGTTTTTGATTACAGAGGTCCTGTCCTCTCTGTTAGATCATGGCTGTATCGTCTCCAGCAGCTGTTGACATCTTTGCTTTCCAAAAGTTAAGTTTCAGAAAATTCTTCCTTTTGTAGGAAAAAAAAAATAGCTGTTTTACAGAGAATTTTGTAGATAATGAGCATTCAGAATAGCAAAAGGGTGAGGGTCACCTTTAACCAGAGACACAGTCCATCATCATGGTAACCATTCAGTGTTCAACAGAGGTCAAGGGGGAAAACTCCCAAACTTAAGAAAACAACACCAAATACAAACTAACACTGACTACTAAAAGAGAGATGGATGTTCATAGACTCTCAATGCAGAATCACGCCAATACTTTTCTGAAGCTCCAGGAACTGGTGCCCATTATTCAAGATTTTATGTATCTACCTGGGCTCTGCTGCCCCACACTGACAAACGCAGTCCTTCTTGGACAGAACCTATCACCTCACCATCCTGTACTCTTGCTGAATATTTACTTCCTTTTGCTATTTGATTTTCACCGATTGCATCAATTTGTGAACACTTTACTAGACAACTGAAAGCACAGTACAAATACAACACAGCTCCTGTTCCTTAGGAAAAAAATGAGAGCGTCCAATAGCAAAACTCCCTTATAGAAGAAAAAGGAACTGTAGATCTCTTGATCTTTGAGTATTCCCAGTGCTATTGCTTATATAAAAGATAGGATCTAGAAAGGAAACTCTTTGAATTTAGTTTGCTTGGGCAATGACAAAGGCTTGCAAGCATAATTTTGAGTGAATGAATGCACATTTAGCCAGACACTGGTAGATTTAATCACAGTCACTTTATAAGTGTTGCAGAAATACACAAGCCCAAGCCACCTACTCTGGTGTCTCTAGAAATCTCCCACTCAGAGCTCACGAATTCAGAAAAGACTGTCCCTTTCCTCTCCAGAAACTAGAAATAGTAAAGTGAAGCTGCACTGCTGAGTTACAAGCTAAGTACTGTGACATGCTGGCTTCCACAACAGAATGGAAATTAATGCGTAAAACCTCCATCTAAATGGATAAGAGATTTTCAGATTTTCTGTGTATTTAAATTAATGTGTATGTCCGAATGAAGGATCAGGAGAGGGTGATAAATACACAAATACTATAAAGAGCAACCCACAACTGTACATGTTGTTGCCTCGTCTTGACACCAGATTCATGAGGAGGAGGAAAAAAAAAAAATTCACCAGAGCATGTCTCTACATCATAGAGATAATACTGTAGAGTGCTTTATACTCCTCAGTAATCCCTTATCATGATGCAGTCTGCAAGTACGGATTCAAAGAAACGAGCAGCATCTATTCCTGTGCTGGAACAGAAATAAACAACATCACTTGCTTCAGGACTCTTCAGGAAAACAATAAAGAGCATTCTCACATCTCACTCAAGAGCTCATCAGTTCCTTGTGCTGCCTGACAACTTCAGCTTTATAAATGACACGAAAGCAGTAAGCATAACTATTTTTCCTATGTCAGAATTCCAGTGATTAACCCTTAGACCTAATGCATGCAGACAGAAAGGGAAAAATGACTTCATTGTAAAACTCAGCCAGCAAGCTTCATACTGGCTTAGAGTGCACACTAAGTACTACACACTGCTTTCCTATTTACAGCTGAAATAAGAAGCACATACGTCTGATTTAAAAAACAGGAAGAAACAAGACTGCTGAATTTAAGCAATAACATAAAAACAAAGCAGCCTGAAAAGGAAAAACAAAACCAGTAAAAAGATACTAAATCCCTTTGTTCTAGTGGGATAAAAAGAATATCACATTCCAATTTCGAATGACTTGTTTTCAGCTGAAGTCTCAATTCCTCAGTAAAGAGAAAATTAGTATTTTCTGAAGTCTGAGGAAGAAATGATACGATGCCACAGCCTTTTTTGCTTATTAGGCATCCTTAAGATTCCAGAAAATGTTCTAAAATATGAACATTTTAGAACACGGCAGCACTATAAGCAAAGGGATTTAACAGACACAGCAGACTTAGCGGCAAGAAACGCAGCACTCACAGAGGATGAGCAGGGGTTGGCCACTTTTGGACTGCACGGTGGAGAGAAAGTCATCTTCACGAGAACGGGCATCTCATCGTCTGACATAGAGCTGGCAGACTTGTCTTTGACTGTGGCAGTGCTGGCAGAGGGCTGCGTGCTGGGTTCGGGTGACAGAAGCTTTACAGGGACAGACACTGGCATGACGATGGGCGCGAGGCTATCCACCTCTTTAGGCAGCGGCTGCTGTGGTGGCTTCTCTCCTTCATCCTGCACAGACAATTAAAGGCTTTCAGCCCAAGCGAGGGAGGGCCACTTCTGGATTGATAAACTATGCAGTGTATGCACTGTGGCTGAGAAGAAGAGGCCAGGGTTACAATACAGAAAATAGCCTTGCTTCTTGGACTCTGCATTTGCCTTGAAGGAAGTTGACAAGTTACTTGACTCCTATGTAGGATTTAGCCTCAGTGACAAATAACCACATTAAGCATCTTTATAGGATCACTTGCAGAAGGGGCAATAAACACATGCCCTTCTTTTATCACTATAAAGGCAGAATTCCCCATCACTCACGTAGAACCTGGTAGCTCTCTGGCTTTCTGTAGTACTCCCCCATCAAGAGAGAATTTTTAAAATATCAAGACACTGAAAAACTGGTTGATGGGGCAAGTTGTCTTTATTCAGAACAATTCAAACCCACATTTTTCATTTGGTATTTGTTGATACCTGTAGAACTACAACACTTTGGAAGAAAGCTGTCAAAGATTCAATAATCCTGCTCCTTCAGTTAAAGTCTGGGAATGCTTCCAATAAACATCCCTTAGTCATCTAAGTAGTCCAAATGAAAATAAGGAAGACTTGATGTTCCTGATATTTCTGATATAATAAACAAACATGAGGGGAAAAAATTCAGAAGCTTGTGCCATGATTTCGTAGAGTGTTTTCGTAATGTGCAGAGACATAAAGAGGCACAAATTTTGTTCTGTCCTCCACCATTTCTCACTTTCAGGTGAAACTGTAAATTATCAGAATTATTTGTGTGCCTCTACATAGACGGGGTGTGACATAAAACAGTGCCGAGGAGAACAGGTATGATAGCAAAGCAAAGCGTGGCAAAGCAAGCAAACATCAACATGTAGAGAAGAGAATCAAATACTGAAGTAAAATGAACGGCTACCTGTTTGAAATTAGGAGATGTTCTTACTCCTCCATGAGACCTCATGTGACCATTCAGAGCAGGCAAACTCTTAAACTCCTTCAAGCATACTGAACACGTTAGCTTGCTCTTCCCATCCGCTCTCTCGGGAAGTGTTTCTCTGTTCAGGCCACTATTGTTAGTTGAAATTTTTTTAGCATGGAACAGAAGAAAAGACATCAGTTTGGCATGTTCCTTTCATTGCAGAGGAAGATTTTCTTTTTGTCAAGGAAGTCAATGAAGTTTTACAGCTACACTTTTAAGAAGCCACAGGTAAACACTTGGTGAGTGCTCTGGAATACATGGGTGATAACCCAGATCAGTTGCCCCCAAGATAAGGAGAAGGAAAGTTTTGAGTAGAACGCGCTTGTCAAAACATGACTCTTGGCATGGATAAATCCAAGAACCCAGGAGAACTAATGTGACAGACCTTCAAATTCAGAACACTTGGACGTAATGTCCCTAAACAGGACAGATAACAATGTTGGAAGACACCTCAACCCTGTAAGGGTGAGATCTTAAAAAAAAAAAACCAGAAGGTTTCTGCTGCTGAAGTACAACTGCAAACCATGCATCATCAGTCGTACTCTTAAAAATGCAGTGTTAAGTATGGACTGTTCCTTTATTGGTTTGGATTGGTTCACTTTTTGTGGGCAAAGACAAAGCATTCAATTTTATTATGGAGGGATGGGGAATGGAAATCACACAAACTTATCACCACAAAACACTAAGATAAAGATGTTTCTAGAAAAGAAACATCTACGATCTTCATGGAGTGCATTCCTCTCTCTTCAAACTGCAGCACTCCTTTGTATTTCTTACAATTAAACCAAGAACACAAAAAAATATAATACCTTTGTTCTGGGGACAGTGGCTGCAGTCTGCCATCTGACAATTGCACCTGCCATTATAGGAAGAAAGTGGAAAAGAGGGGAAAAAAACAAAAATAATTTTTCAGGAAATACTGATATATAAATGAAGGTTCTGACAGCTTTATTCCTGTATTTTGCATATGCTTCTACTAATATTGCATGCCTCTGAATTGAGAACCTTACATTTATCCAGCAAATCAGTGCCTCCACGAGCAATGCTAATAAAAGCTTTCTTACACTCACCTCTTGTTTGAAGGTTTGCCTCTGCTGCAGTAGTATTATGTTTGGAAACAAGGAGCTAAATGTTTATGCACATTGAGGCATATGAGTGTTGAAAAATGAGCAGGAGCACCTTGACTCAGAGCTCCCCAGATTCTCTCATGAGGGAACCACTAGCCTCGCAGTAGCAGCTTCATGCTGCTGCCCACTGGCCCAAAGCCAAGACAGCAATGTAGAACTCTGTTAACACAGTTCTCCAAAACATCCCAGCAATGCCCACTGCTCATATCTTGACTACCCAGCTCCACCGTAACATTTCATTTCCATACCTGGATGCTTTTCCGCTGGACAAGTTTAAGCAGGGATCCAAAATGTCACCTACCTGAGGCCACCCAGGGCCCGGAGAGTCTTGCTGAGAGCTTCTGTTGTTCAGATGTGCTCCTGAGGATGGCAAAAGAGTTCGATGAGGTACAGTGTTACCCGCAGAATTGACCTCCGACCGCGCAGGATCCTCAGCTGTCCCCGGTGGAGTGAGGCCGACGTGGGAGTTCAGAGATGCAGCTCTGCCTTCACTTGTGTATTGCTTCTGCTGGTCGTGCTGCTGCAGCAAACCCTGCGGGTACAAATGCCTGTACTGTTCGTGCGGATCCTGATAGCAATACGGAGGCGCTGCTCCCAACTGGATGAGCTGCACAGGATGACTTGGATCCTGGGGGTACTGGTGGGGTTCATGCACAGTCTTTGGATCGGGTTCCCTGTGATACGGAGGAAGCTGCAGTTGCATTTGTTGCTGTTGTTGCTGTAGCTGCATGACAGGCTGCGTTTGGTAATACTGAGCTATTTGCATCGGACACTGCCTCTGCTGCTGCTGCCGAGTTGGCTGTTGCTGCTGCTGTTGGATCTCATGTATTGAGAGTCGCTGATGTCCCTGCTGTGGCTGAGCATAGTACTGAGTCTGCTGCAAGTGCTGCATCTGTTGCGGTAAGAGCTGCTGGGACTGCATTTGTTGAACGTGCGTCTGTCCTTGCTGAAACGCAGAATGAATCTGCATTTGTGACAAATGCTGCTGGTAGTCATAGTACAACTGTTGGTGCTGCATGACTTGCATTTGTTGCTTTTGCTGTGTGCTTGCAAAATTCTGCGTCTGCTGTGGCACTGGTTGATATCTTTGTATGCTGGAAGTTACAGGCTGTTGCTCAACTGCTGGCTTCTGGGACAGTAGCTGCCTGAGCGCGCTGTCACCAGAATTATCCGCCATGGAAGTCTCAGTGTGTAAAACCTGAGCCATGTTGTTGACTTGAATTCTCAGATTTTGGTTAGCAAATACTTGTGTAAAAGAGTCCAACTTATGCAGGACCCCACTGGTAATTTTTTGTGATCGATTTTCGCTGGGTTGAGAATAAGAATATTGGTATCCATCATGAGATTCTCCCTGCCCAAGGGGGCTCCACATTGCGCTTTGATTACTCAAATTGTTCCGCACTGGGACGTGGTTTCCTGAGCCAGAATGCGTCCATGTTTGTCTAAGTGTATCCATTGACCCAAGACTTTTTGAACCTACAGGCAAAGCTATACTGTCTCTTGAATCTTGGGGAAAGTGAGGGGAGAGAGGGGACGCCTGGGGAGCATCTATAACAGATGTCCCATAACTATGATTTAGAGATGGAAGGGAGTTCATTTGGTGTTGGTAGTATAAGTTCTCATTGCTGTTGGCAGTATGGTTAGTTTTATACAATTGCTGGTCCCCCATTTTTGGTCACTTCTGTTCCAATCTTACAGGCACGCGAACCATTGAAATCTCTATGAACCCTGAGATAGCTGAGTGAGGGAGTGAGGGGAGGGAAGAGAAGCTAGGATTACTTATAATTCAGCATGTGCGTGTGCAACAGAAAGACTAAGATTTCCTCCAGTCTGTCAGTAATTCCAATCAGACTCAGCGTTGCTTCACATCTTCATAAAATGGACCACAGCGCAAATCTTACACACAGTAATAGATTCAGTGTGCCAGGCATCTACAGAGTAAGAGAAAGTAAGAGTAAGTGTCAGCCTTCTACACATTCTGTTATTGTTATTGCCTCAAAGGAAACCAAAATCTAATTCAAAATGCATAATCTTCTACAAAATTGTAGTAGCTGGCCTACTCCAGTGCAGTTAAGTTACTTCATCTCATCCCATTATCCTGCTTCATATCTAGTTCTCACATAAAATCATTCTGCCAGATCCAAAAAGTCCCATTCTTTAAAACTGAGCTTTTTATTTCTCCTGATGCATATGAACACTTGAGCAGCTTTAGCTGGCCACATATTGCTCTCTTTTGACTAGCTTTAGACAGCTTACTATAAAGCCAAACCATCTTTTCTAATGCTGCTAGTTGTCAGAAGCAAAACACTCAGTTTATAACACAAAATAACAACAGATACCTCCACAAAGGCCTGAAAAGGAAAGTAAAACAAAAGCCAGGGCTTTGAACAAAGTTGACAGAACTCAGATTACCAGTACCTGTACAGGACCAACACCTAAAAGTACAAACAAAAAAGTGAACTGCTGCCCAGAATTTGCACAGAGAACTGCAGAGCTTCTCACAACTTTCAGGGTACCTACAACATATTCCAGTAGTATGAAAATACACTGTCACTGAAGAATAAGAAGCAAGACTAATGTTCACTGCTGTAACAAAACAAAACAACAACAACAAAAAAATGACCCAAAAACCCAAACTACAATCAAAAATCACCAGCATATAGATACTCAAATGTATCTGTGCTTGTAGATTTATTCGGTTTTCCATTTGGAATCTGATTAATGCTAAAACCAAATAGGTCCTTAGAAATCACACCTTGGAAATCAGAATCAACAGAAATCTGTTAAAGAGTAAATGTAACTGTAATGTAAATGTAAACTGTAAATGTTAAAGTCATTCATCTTACACCAGGGATGCTGATTTCCAACTTCTGCTCTCCTCTCTCACACTTCTTCAGTTTGCAATATTTTGATAGACTAATTTACAGTAACTGCAACCATTTATCATTCTTACCATATAAACCACAATTCAAAGCAACATTTTAAAGATGCCTGTACTGTTTTCAATGAACAAAACAACAACAAAAAATAAAGGTATATTAGAAGGTTGTTCCTATTTTACGGTGGGAAGTGATCACATTGTCTAACGTTATGCACACATGCACAGAGGCACAGTATGCCTATGCACATACAAGTATGTTTCAATGCAAAATATTCTTCTGAACTTTAACAAGACCAAAAAGAAAAATATTAGGCAGCAACCTTAACCCTGCCCCTTTCCCATTTGGCTTTCTAAACATAATACTTTCCATCTCGGGCTCCTTTGTACTCATGTCTTTACCTTTTTAAACTCAGGAAAATCCTTGACCTGAATGAATAAATGTGAGGTCACCGATAAAGAAAAATTTAACAATTGCCAGATGTATATTAATGAGTTCTGTGCTAGCTACAGTAAATAAGGCTAATATTAAGCTGTGGGAACAAAAAACCCCTACTTTTGTTCTAGCATAATGTAAGAGAGAAAACCATAGCTCCCAAATGAAGAAGGTTTTCAGTGTGTACATAGTTTTTGTGTAAGCAATCACTAGCATGTAACTTTTTCACATGACAAATGATGGCAGAGAGTAACTGCACGTTTATTTCCCCTTTCAGAAACATACATTGCTTCCTATTTTCTCTGAACACACTCCCTTCCAAGGGAGTCAGTGGTCAGGTTGCCAAGGATTTTTTAGCCACAACTCAACTTCAAAGAATGCCTATTTAAAGTTAGGAAGAGAAATTAAACAAAGCCTGCAAAAGCATTCAAAGGACATAAAAATAAACACTGTGTGGTATTTCACACTCAAAGGCCATCAACTTATGCAGGAAGAGGGGTATACTACAAAGGAATATATGCATCTCCTTTCATGCCTGCCAAGTTCAGAAAGCTCAGCTGAGACTCTGAACATCTTTCCATGAGAATGGGGCACGAACGGATCAGTCTAGCTACCTTTTCCAGAGGAAGTATGTCCTATTTTCACTTATTGATAACATCAGAATTTACAATAGATGACTTTTTTTTTTGGTTTTGTCTCTGCTTTTTAAATTTTGTGTAAAATGAGAAGCATTAGCCAAATGACAAGGGCTAGTACTGACACAAAGGCTCAGCTTCTCTGTTCTGAGCTGAGCAAACCCAGGGACCTCAGCCTCTCTTCATTCTGCTGCCCTCTGGATTCATCACCATCTTCGTAGCCCTCTCCTTTGGACATTCTCTAATAGCTTTATGCCCGTCTTACATTGTACTAACCAAAATGCAGCCAGCCCTGGAGGTGAAGCTGCACAGCAGGGCAACTCCTTCCCTCACATGGTAGCAGTGCTGGGCCTGGGGCACCGCAGGGCACAGTTGGCCCTTTGGTCTGCCAGGGCACACTGCTGGCTCACATTCAACTTGCTGTTAACCAGAACCCCCAGATCACTCCCTGTTGCACTGCTTCTCCAGCCTCTCATTTCCTCTGTTCATACACCCAGGGCTGCTCCATCCCTGGTGCAGAATCCAGCACTGCTCTTGGTAAACTTCATGTGGTTGGTGATTGCCCAGCCCTCCAATTTGTTAAGGTCTCTCTGCAAGGCCTCTCTGCCCTTGAGGGAGTCAGCAGCCTCTCCCAATTTAGTGTCATCTGCAAACGTACTTAGCATTCAACTCCTGCATTCAAGTCATTGACAAAAACATTGAAGAGAAGTGGCCCCAAAATGGAGCCCTGAGGAACTCCATTAATGACAGGCCACCAACCTGACAGAACACCAGCTACTGTAGCCCCTTGTGGCCAACAGATCAGCCAGTTGCTCACTCATTACATATGTATTTGTCTAGCTGCAGCTGGACATTTTGTCCAGGAGGAAACAGTACCGAAAGCTTTGCTGAAATTTAAAAACATTACATCAGCTGGCTTCCCTTGGTTAACAAGGTGGGTAACCTTGTCATAATTGGAGATTATGTTCATTAAACAGGATTTTTAGCTGTTAACGTATTTTAAAAAGCCATTTTTCTTGTTCCCCACAGAACTGGCCACCTTCATCTCTAACTGTGCTTTGGCTGCACAAACTTTCTCCCTACAATGATGAAAAGTGTCTCTATAGCACTCCCACTTTGCCTGACCTCACTTCCAGTGGTCATACGCTTTCTCTTCCTCCCCAAGCTCTAAGAGATTTTTGCTCAGCCAAGCCAACCTTCTACCCTGCCTGCAAGACCTCTGACACTTTGTCTTCTCCCCTGCTGTTAAGCAGTAGTGCTTACGAAGTGACCAGCACTGATGGACCCCAACGCCTTCAAAAACAGTTTCACAGGGGAACTTGCAAACTAGTTCCCTGAGCAGCCTTAACTCTGCTCTCCCCATACTCAGGGCTGAAGACCTGGTGGCAGTTTTTGCCATACTACCAAAGAATTTCAACCCAACTATTTCATGGTCACTGAGATAACAGATATTTTTTTTAGTACTTCAACAGGCTTAAATTCAAGGTCATGATGTTGTATACAATAGCATCTGCAATCAAGTTTAACAAAATGCCAACAGAATATATTGCTTGTTGGATTAAAATCTAACAAAGAAAATATCAGTGCTGTACAAAATATAATTAAGGCCTAAAAGGCAAAAGTTAGTCTCTTGCCAACTGAGAAGCCATTGGCAATGCATTTCTACTTCTTTCAATGACAGGAAGAAAAGTTTGTTCTTTCTCCTTTTAAGCACTCATGCTTAAACACCTCTAATTGCAATTTGTCACAACAACAACTATTACTACTAAATGGTTAAATCAAACAACTCAACTTCTGAAAGCAGCAGCTTTAAAGCAACAATGGTTCTGCAGCTGTATGTTTCTTTTCTTTCCAACAGCCACTTACACTACTCAACCTATTACATTTCTGACAGTGCAGATATATCCCAATTACGCAATCATTACAAAGAAACAGAAACAACTGTGAAAGGACAAAAACATTTCTGTAGACTGCCTGGGAAGAGAAATACCCTATTTAATATTGTGGATGATATCTGGACCCAAACTAATGGGAGTTCAATTGATTTCAGAAGAGACAAGGTTTCACTTCAACTCTTCTAATTTCAGTGTGGTCCCTGCAAGTTGCACAGCTTCTTTCTCCAGACCGAAAGCCACAAACATGTCAAGCTTGCTGAAATGTCTTTATACATTTCAACCATCTTCCTCTTCAAACACAGGCAACACTAAGGCAATACAAATAACAGTCACTCCTAGAAGCACACCATAGCTTAATTCTGGTATACATAAATGGAAGAATGTTCTGATGTTATCAGTCTTCAATAAAGATGATCTTTACTTCCTTCCTAAGTTATATCACTGAACAGTTAGGAAGTCTTACAGAAGGCAGACAGCAAAATATCAAAGAGACAATAATTATTACTTACTTTACCAAAAACAACAACAAAAAAAGAGCTCTATAACAGAACACAAAAACGGAAATCTGCACAACATTTCAACGTCAGTAAAAAAACATATCCAATCCATCATTCTTTTGAACTCCCTGAATGCACATGAACTTCAGCAAGACAACCACACCAACTAAGTAACTGGTCACAAGTTGTGCCAGGTGCAGGATGCAAAAGCAGGACTGAACGTCAGCCAATTCCAATCTCAGAACTGCATTAATGGAGAGAGATGACAAAAGACCATAGGAGAGTACATAATGAAGGAATTAGATGCATTAACAGACCATCAAAGAATTGTGACACTGATCTAAGCCACCGCAGCATACTGCATGGCTGCAAATCAAAATGGAATTGGATCCTATATTTTGTCCAATTCATTTCAAAATTAATTAATTAATTAATAACAAAAACTACAAACTTTTAATAAATGAATGAACTACTATTTAGTCTGAAAACAGAAGACAAGAAGGCAGAAGCAAAAACCTACAACTCCTTCACATTCAACTGGCTTCTGCGGGACAGAGCATTTAGAACTTCTCACAAGCAGTAGCATTAAGAGATGCTAATTTGCTGGGGCACAATGCAGCCAGAGATTATAACATTTTGGTTGAAATAAGTTTAACCACCATTTTGAGCAATCTAAACAGCTTTGTTTTGTTGTGTGGTTGTTTTTCTCTCTCTTTTTCTTTTTTTTTTTTTCTTTTTGAGTAATAACTCAAGGCACGCCTGCTTACAAAAATGCATCACAACTTTGAGTTCTCCCCACACTGGAAACATGTTTTAATCATGCCTTACTGCCCTTTAGTCCGTCAGGCTGAGACACGGCTTTCTCACATCTGTATTTTCACTATTAGATTACAAGCTTCATTTTTAATCATGCATATGTCAAAATCCAAAAGCAGGAGTTCTCTGTTTTCCTCCTTTCTTCCTTTCAACTTTTTTCTACCACTTAGTTTCCATATAAACAAAACAGGATTTATCTTATTCTTGGCCTTTTTATTGGAATGTTTTTACTGGCTTACTTTGTAATTCAGAAATGCGAGATCGTCTGCTATGCTATGCCTACATTTAGCCAGTCATCACTCACATCATATCTGTCTCTGGATTTTCTTTAGGCCAGACACACAAATATACAGCAGTTCCTTCCCTGATACACTCTCTCCTGCTAACATGAAGTGCCAGGAACCCCTACTACCTGGGCTGCCTACAGTCCAGCCCTTAAGTAAGTGACAGCCCAGACAGGTATGATTTTCAGCTGAGCACTGCTGCCATACAGTCAGTATTAAGAACCCACCAAAGAGAGTAGGTTTAAAAACCAGGAGAGAGCTATGTGAGAAAGGACATACCTGCATTACTCAAAGCCAGCCTTCAGGAGCAGAGCTGACACTATCCCTACCTCTTAACTGTAGCAAATGGTGGATGCCTGCAAAGCACAGCAATGGGGGAGGAGGAGCGGTAGGTTTCAGAGCCCCTTGTGCTTCAGAGCCACTGCTGAGATACCAGGTTTTCCTCCACAGCTCCTTGGTTAGCCACAGTTCAAGCCCAAGCTCCATTTTTTTTGTTTGTTTGTTTGTTTGGCGAGAAAATAAGCATGGGAGAAAAGCAGCACAGTACTGAAACAGAATGAATAATTTCTAATGCCAAACAAGATGGCATTAGCAGAGAGAAAACAAGAAGAAGAAAGATGATAATTCAAAGAACTACCTGTTTTCCTATAGAAATTCTGAAGATGGATCAGATGTAACAATAGAGGCACGGACTGAAAACAAGGGTAAAAAGATACAGAATCATGGCTTGAATAAATAGCAAAATAACAATATGAATTTCAAGGACCAACTATAATTTATATAGCTATCCCAAGGATAAATACTCAGGGCTGAAAACCTTATCATCCCAGTCCTGGATAAAACCACTTGTATGTTTTGCGCTGCGCTTGAATTCTGACTTTCTCTGAATGTCAGAGGTCACAAATCCATGCTCATATCTGCACATAAACACAAAGGTTGGAGCTGTTAGGTGAAAAGACTACCACAGGAGTATGCTAGTGTAGAAGGAACAGGAATAAAATAATTGCAAAAGTGAAAAAGAGATGGAAAGGAACAAAAATACATGGTATACTGATTTTACAGAAAGCACATAGGAAAGCCATATGCTCTTAAAATGGAAGGAGAGATTAGCTGCTTTTTAATATTAATGACAGTAATTCTTCAATAGTTGCACAAATCCTTCAAAAAATATCATTCCCTTTGCAGACAAGCTCTTACTGCAGTGCAGTGCAGTTGGAAAGGCTGGAAAGTCTCGTGTGGCTGCTCATTTGAGCTGTTCCCATTTCCACTCTTAAGAAAAACTAGAATGTCCTAATTCAGTTTAATAAAGAACAGATTGGACTTGGGGGAGGGGAAAGCAACAACGACACTGGGAGGGGAACCGAGCAATTTCTCCATTTCAATAAAGTTGAAAAATACAACAACAAAAAAAAAAACACAACAGAAAAAACAACAGTTGATCATCTCAGGCAAGTTTCTAGAAAAGGGGGAGGAGAAAGGAAGACAAACAAGCAATAACATTTTCTTCTCCTTTTGATCTAAGTTATAAGCAGAAAATGCATTCTGAGGCACTGGTAATTTAATGAAAACTTTTCTCCTAAAACTAACAGCACTCTTGTTATTCAAGAAGAAGAGGCTGAAGAAGAGGCTGATTTCTAAATAAAGCCAGTAACTCGATTTAGTTTAAGGGAGATAAAGTTCCACGAGTCCCAAAGAAATGAAGAAAGCTGCTTCAGCAACCCAGATCATCTTTGTTGTCAGTTGAACAGTGCTACAGTTTTGAGCTACTTTGAAGTGTTCTCAGAACTGTGACTGAAGCAGGTAGCACGTTATTTCATAAAAATGACATATAAAATGGTGTGATCATCTCACAATACTGATGAAAAATCGAAACAAAAACCTTGATTAGGGCCAGAAAGGCACTGGAATTGCATATCCCAAGACCAAGTGACCAAGAAGCTTATAGAAGACAGGATTTATTACAGGGGCTGATCAGCACTGACAAAAACAGATTTTTAATATTCACCAATACATTACTGCGTATTTGATCAAGGCAGAAGCTGTCTATGAAACTTCATTTGAAATGTCTTTACCCAATCCAGGTTTACTGACTGCATATATGAAAGAAATTGTAACAGCTGCTGCTGCTATATCAAGGGCAGTACTTCCATGTGTTTCCTGGAATATCAATGCATCCCCTTACCCCAATTGCCCTCAAGTTCATATTCTAGTTTGCTGGTATTACTGAATCGTGTAATTTATTTTTCCTCAGCAAGTCCCCAGCACAAAGATCATAAGGATAGACGGGTTAGACTTTGCCCACTACTTCACATCAAAATCTCTGCTCACTAGTGCTGAGCTGGGAGAGAAAGGGGGACATTTCATGCCTTCCCATTCAAACATAAATCCATCAGCTATCACTGTGGCCAGAGCAGCTGAGACACTATTTTAGCATAAGGTGAAAACCCTTATGCTACACTTCATCTGTTTCTTCGTGACCTCTACAGTGCTTATATTATGAAGCTTGTAAGGTGATCGACTTTTTCTGTGAATGTTGTGAAACAATCAGAGAACAGAGAACATGGGCTGAGATTTGCAAAAACAGGCAAGAAGGAAACATCCTGAGACAGATAAACAGCTAGAGAAAAAAAACAAACAAACAAACAAACAAAAAAAAACATTAAAAAAAGCAGGTAGAAGTAGCATTTGTGAAATACCATATGGATAAGCTTCCCATAGGGAGGTAGCAGCTATTTTGAGCCAGTGCCTCCCTCAAAGGAGGCCAAGCTTTCCAAAATCTTGCCAATGGACCCTCTGAAAAATCAATCCCTCTAAACACACTATGTTGGTACCTAGCTGTGGGGCCACAAAAAAACTGAATGGCTACGTGGAACTGAGCACCACAGCTTCTTTTCTTTTAATTATGGTAATGCACATTTTGTTTGCAGGCAATTTAGGCCTTTAGGAAACATATGAATGCATGGGAATCTCCTGTGCCATATGTACTGGAGCACATAAAATGTACTCCAATGTAGTGTCTTAGAGAATACAGTCAACATACAGCTAGCCTTATCTGAGAAGTCTGTCAATAAGACTACAGAGACTCAGAACCACAAATTTTGAGAAACAGACAGAAAGCACACACCGAGCCTCATTACATGACCTAGCCTCATAGAAAGTGGACACATGATGTTCCAACAGTACCTCATTTTTGATTACTTGTGAGACTGTTGTATCTTGCCGTGCTGTCTTCGCCATAACATTTCATGCCGTTCTCATTCTGTGATCTCAAAATGATGTATCTAAACATAAAGCAAAAGAACAGAAAACCATTTTTTAACCATTACCTTATAAAGTATCACCACCTCACTCCATAAGCAAGCCTGCAGAATGAGAATCCTATCACAACACAATCAAATATTAACTTCTATTCATTATGACATCTGTGCTACTCTGTTATTCAACTCAGTATTGTAGGGGATATCTCTCAGCAAGGCAACTCCCTCAAAGAACAGCAAGAAACCCCGTTTCCATATTGATAGTGAGAGACTGCTTTATTGTCAAATCTCTGGGACACATTCATAGTCCTTCAAATTACAAAGTAGTATCAGTAAATTCATCTTTTGTTCTTACTTACCTTGGCACCAACTGCAAAACGAAGAATAGGTTGACTCAAAAAATAAAACAAGATTGCGCTTGTATCACAGACACTGTAAAGATTTCAAAGGATCTTATGCTTTTCTGACAGGGCCCAAAGGCAGGCTAGATGTTGTCTCTGAGAGGAGACCTTGCTGTCCAACAGCTTGCAGCATGATTTAAACAAGAAGGTGTAGCATTCAGGAAGGGAGGGATTGATGAAAGTCAAAGATGTGGGCAATACAATTAGGTTGTCAACAAATTCAAAAGAGACACCTCGTCAAAGCATCTTAAATTATTTAAATAAAAGCGATGCATTTGCTTTGTTGGTGCTGCTGCCAAGACAGCTTTCAGGGAAGGCCATGAATGAATCACAGAACCACAGAATTGAAGGGGTTGGAAGGAACCTCTGGAGATCATCCAGTCCAACTCCCTGCTAAAATAGGTTGCCTAGAGTAGTTTACACAGAAGAGCATTCAGGTGAGTTCTGAATACCTCCAGAGAAGCAGACTTCACAACCTCTCTCAGCAGCTTGTTCCAGTGCCCTGTTTAAAGTTCTTTCCCATGCTCAGATGGAACTGTCCATATTCCAGTTTCTGTCTGTTGCCCAATGACCTGGCACTGGGCACCACTGCAAAGAGGCTGGTCCCATGCACTTGACATCTGCCCTTTAGATATTTAGGTTTTGGAAAGCTGCTGCAGCCATGAGACAACTGTATAAACAATGTCCCACAGGAGAAGGACACAGGTAACACCAGGCAGCTTGATCAGTATTTTCCTCCTTTCACCCATTGGCTTGTCATCTCCACACCTGATTCACCCACTGAAATTACTCTCTAAAGGCCTCTGATAATAGGTCCTAAGCACCATGACATAATTGCATATAGCAAGAAGAAACTTGTTGCCAAATCCAGTAGTTCCTTGAACAGTATAGCTCCCCTCCCTCACCCTGCCAAGGCATGGGGAAATGAATCCAAAGGGTTTCTTCACCCGGCCGAGCACTAACCTCTGCAGCCCATGGCATGATCCCCAGGAGCCAAAAGAAATTGAGGGGTTCACAGCACAATCCAAACAAATTTGATCCAAGTACACAATGCAGGAGAAAACAGAGCTCCTTACGAAGCCTAACCTATTCAAAATGTCCTTTTAAAGAACCCCTCAGCTGATAGTAAATAATGATTCCATTGCACAGAGACACAGGAATAACCAACTTCGGATGCAACCAAGTTTTTGCTTTTGAAGTTATTGTATTGGGTTACAGTAACTACAATTTGTTCATGCCTGAATTTCATTACGAATGTGAGCTGAAATGCTGCAGATATCTCAGAAAGCAAATAGTTCATTAGCTGCTTGCAATCTATCTGCTGATGGCTTTTCTCAGTGAATCCTAAATTGAAAGTATAACTTCTTTAATAAATATGCTGAAATAAGAAAGGTTATTATAAAGTCTCATCTATTTACTGCTTTATCCATCTCATTTTTTATACCAGTATTTCATATCTTTAGATGTCCAATGAACCTTCCAGATGACTGACTACATTTGGAACAGGATATACTCAGAAACATACGGAAAGCCCATGGTTAACTCTGGTAGCAACAAAAGCTGTTCAACACAGTTGTTTAGAACTTGCCAAGATCTGTTTAAGCTTCATTAAAAAATAACTGCTATATCATGAGTATCGACCACAGTCACACTACATAGTCTTGCTTGCTTTTTAGTTTATCCATCTAAAAATGTCAAAGCATTCTGCAGACAGACCATCCCAGGCAGCTTCCAAGAGAGGCCAGCCCAACTGACAGTGAGAAAAGCAACAACAGCAATGCCCCCAAAAAATCCTTTCCTTATTTTGTATTTCTTTTTGCTGCTTTTCTCTCTACACCACCTTTTTGCTCATTTCTTTCATTATATTGATTTATGCTGCTGAGTCATTCACCTCCATCAGCAGAGATACTGTAATACCCACATGCAGTTGTATGGAAATTAGCAGGCACATGCAGAGCTCTTTTGCGTAATACCACAGGTAAAGAACAAAACTTTGGGCACCTCAGAAACAGAGGTAGCAAACTAATGACTAACAAAACACTGAAAATAGCCCCAGTGTAATTAATGCAGAATAAAACCAAGCACCGCGAAAGTACGTAAAACTCACAAATGATGTTTTGATTCCTTGAAAATCGATTTCATTAAATTTTCACCAGCGTCTCATTTTTTAAATTTGGATTCAAAAACAGTCTAAATTAATATTTCTTCACCGTATTCTTTGGTTTTACTCCTACCCCACTTCTTAGATTCTAGATGGAACTTAAGCAGGGTAAGGAGAAGGGAAGGGAAGTCTTCAGCAACATTTACAAATTAAGAGCTAAGTCGGAGATCAGCTATCCCATACACACAATATAAATTATTCTTCTCTCTTCATTAGGATTGATGACACTGCTGGAAAATAAGGAGCACATAATACCTTTTATGGGAATGTAAAGCACGAGCGAATTAGTACAAAGAGAATGCAACTAAATCAATTTCTCATCTCAAGATAGTAATGAAGGCAATTTCTTGAACTCGACTACGTTTATACCATATTGATCAGCAAAGCTTCACACTTAAAAGTTAAACTAGTTATTTTTTCAGGGATAGAATGGAAGCTGTCAGTAAACTAGGCAAAATACCAAAGGACTGGGAGCTGCACACAGACCAGCTATGTTAAGCTTTGGAAACACAAAGCTTTCAGCTACCTGCAAGTTACTAGACAATGTCACAGGAAGACATCTAAACAAAGGCTATGTTAGTGGGTGCCTTCAGAGAACAGATTAAAGGAGAAGCAGAAGACACACAGGATCTCTATAAGGGATAGCATAAATGCCAGCACTGGTTCCACCACATATGGTTTTACCCTGCGGTAGCAGCTCAGGGTCAGCCTTTTTTCTGCAACACTTCCACTCCCCTCAGCTGCAGTCTCCATTCTGAACACACTGTGTTCCAAGACACTGATCCCCTCCTGGATGAACTGCTGTTGCTCTGAGGCCCAGTAGCAGGCTGGGATGAGATAAAGCTTTGTCTGGAAGATGAAGCTGCAATGCCCTCCCACCACCATGAGCAGGTGCACTGAGAAAACCATGCAAGTATGCCTCATGCTATTTGAGTTTGTACAGCATTGCCCACATGCTCCTATGAGCAGTGCTACAGCTGCAATTACAGCAGTTTAGACACGGGAAAGCTAGACAGATCGAACAAAGATGAAGATATTCATATTCTCTGTCAAAGTAAAATGACTTACAACATTTAGTGCTAGTAGTGCCAATGGTGATGAGGAGACAGTTGGGCTAGATGATCTTATAGATCATTTCCAACCTTGTGATTCTATGATTCTATGAACATTGGACACACAACATATAGGATAGTTACCATTCTTTCTTGAACATGATGGACTTGCATATCAACTGACATCAGGAACTTAACTGATGTGCAAGAGTTAGTAACTCAGATTCTCCACGTACCATCAGAGCATCCTTAGAGTACACAGGAGTAATTAGTTATTTCTCTTCTCCTGCCCAGTGGCAGCCTAACTAATTGTAAACAAATACCAGCTGATAACTTCCCAAAGTTGAATAAGCCTATTTTAACTGAATGAGACAAGAGTTTTCTCCACTGTATCTTCCATTATTTCCATTACAACAAGAGAGAGCATCCTTTTATCTGAACTGGTTTATCTCAGTTAAACAGTCTTTAAATTATGTTTGGAAGAGAAAAAGGGAAAATAAACCATCTTAAGATAAGGAACATAAGAACAGTAGAAGAATACATAAGTTAAACACGCAATACCAACAAAGAACATAATATCAAGCAACAAAACAGGAAACAAAAAAGTTGGAAGTACATGAATTATCGTCATCAATTGTGTAGCATTAAATTTGTTCACTTAACAAATACAGTCTCTCCTTTGATTCAAATTAGGCTTTCAGTCCACACCTTATTATCTCCAGAAATTCAAATGCCCTTCTGAGGATTGGATTCTTCATGTAGGCTAGACTTTTTTTTTTATGTGCTCATCTCTACAACTTCAAACGTTTCAGCAATGTTGCATTCCATTGAGTTCCACAGCTAATCTCTTAGACAAATGGCACATCTCACAGATGGGATGCTACAATACAGGTAGATTACAAATTCCAGAATCAGCTTTTCACATGCAGGATCTGGCACTTCAAATAACAGATGCTGTACAATATTAGATTTTGTTTAAAGCAGTCTTGAGTCCAGCTACTGGTTAGATGCCTGCCAGCCACACAAGCAAATGGATGACTAAGGTGAAACCCAGGAACAGACCACCATGGACACTGCTGATGACTACCTGGGAGACGTCCACTTTCAATGACACATCATACAGCTGCTCTGTGTCACTGCCCAGAGGACAAACCAGCTCTGTGGGCAACTTTCAGCTTGTCCTATTCAGAAGACTATTCTTTGCTACAATTGCTTGTATCTTTCATTATGTAAACGCAAATAATTGCAGCAACAAATTTGAGATCCAACATAGTCTTTTTCTACTGGAGTCTAATGATTCTTTAATCTTCACAGCAAACCCACCATATGTACAAAGCTGGGCAGGAAGGTTATAAGGAAAAAAAAAAGTTTATAGGTTCCTTATAAAGTGCATGTAGGTATAACAAGGAG